CTGACACGAGGGCCTTCGTCCTTCCGTACGGCTGGCGGTGGAGGAGCGAGCGGGAGGGAGGCTCCGTGGCCAGGGCGAGGGAGGCGAGGGTGTCCATGATGAGGTTCACCCACAGCATCTGCACCGTCTGGGGGAAAGGGAGGAGGAGATGAAGGAGTCTGTGAGGTGGATGGGTAGAGGGGGGGGGGGTTATGACGGGGGAATGGGAGGCTGTGAGGCAACGGAGGAAAGGAATGTGAAAGGGGGGAAATGGTGGGGGTGTCGGGAGAATGGATGGGTCAAGGGACGGGAGGGGGAAGTGACTGAGGGAGGGAGAGAGAGAGAAAGAGAGAGACAGAAACAGAGAGTGGAGAGACAGACACAAACTAACTGATTGATTACTTGACTTATTACTGACAGCCAGCCAGACAGACAAACTAAAAGCAGAATAGAAACCAAAAGCCATTAGAACGCTTCCACTCGCCCCTGACGAGCACGAACCCTGTCCTCACGTGTCGCAAATCCCCATCTGTCTATAACTATAAGTAAACCGATAATAGGATCCTTTATCTGCCTCCGTCAAGGTTGTGATTAGGATCGAATTATTGGCTGAGCGGCGAGAAGGAGAGAAGGAATTGGATCCTGTTAATTCGTTCAAATATCTTTTGGCTTTTGGTTTCGGTTCTGCTTTTAGTTTGTCTGTCTGGCTGACCGGCTGGTTGGCTGGCTGGCTGTCAGTAATCAGTCAGTTAGTCAATCAATTAATCAATCAGTAAGTCAGTCTTGTGTCTGTCTCTCCGCGTTATGGGGAACGAGGGGCTGAAATATATATAGTTAGAGACTGGTATGTAGACAGAGAGATCGAGGCAGATAAATGGAGAGATAAATTGGTTTAGAGGGGGGAGAGAAAAAGAGAAAGAAGGTAGGAGTGGATGAAGATGAAAAGGGGAAGAAGGGGGGAAGAGAGAGACAGAAGCAGAGACAGACAGACAAAAGAAAGAAAATGAGAGAGAGTGGGGAGGGAGAGAGAGGGGGGGGAGGGGGGGAGCGAGGGAGCGAGGGAGAGAGAGAGAGAGAGAGAGAGAGAGAGAGAGAGAGAGAGAGAGAGAACCCTGAAAAAAACACCGAATCCCTCCCCCTCGTACACACACACACACACACACACACACACACACACACACACACACACACACACACACACACACACACACACACACACACACACACACACACACACACAAATTATCAAATAAATAGACAAACACCATATTCCCCTCCCCTTACCTTCAGCGGCGTATCACTAATGATACATATACTGACGAAGGCAATAGTAACAGCCACAACGTTGACAGTCAGCTGGAACTGAAGGAATTTGGCGATGGAGTCATAAACGTTTCTTCCCCACATGACAGCCTTGACGATAGAGGTGAAATTGTCGTCTGTCAGAACGATGTCACAGGCTTCCTTGGCGACGTCTGTGCCCGTGATGCCCTGTGGAGGAGACGCTCGGTTAAAAGAATGGTTGGATTAAGGTGATAGCTGACGATTGAAGAGCTCATTACATAAAGGTAATGATGTGAGAGATGATTGAATAGGTTATTGGAATCCAATCGACACGTATGGCAAAAATACACGCAATGTCCACTGCAATACAAATTTATTTATTGTATTTGCACATAGATGGCTCTACAAGTGCTTAGTCACCAGGGACTCAGTTATTAGTCCTACCTCTCTCACCTGTTTACTTTTTTTCTCGACTTTTGAAAAAGGTCTTTTGCATTATTTCATAGTCTTAAATGTTATCGAGATTTTGATAACAATTTAGTAATCATAACATCAATAACAACAATAACAGTATCGATATCAACTGTATTAGAAAGAAAAACACAATTTCCCGCCAATTCAAGGAATGAGGAAACCAGGATCGGTCACTAAGGTTACTGATAGATTCCTTGCCGGCTAAGCACACGTGGAGCCATCTGTATGTAACAACATAAGAAAAAAAAACTACAGGGGACAGAACATAAATCCGGGACGATTGGGTTATGATAATGATGTGAGAAAGGATTAAAGAGATTATTAGTTTAAAATAACGATTTGAGATGATTAAAGAGGTTATTAGATTAAGATAATGAGGTGGAAGGTAACTAAAGAGATTGGTAGTTTAAAATAATGATCTAGATTTTAAGATTAAGATAACAAGGCGAGAGGTGATTAAAGAGGTCGTTATAATTAGATAATGAGTGTTATTAAGGAGGTTATTACATTAAGGTAATGAGGTGAATAACATTTAAAGAGCTGACTGAAGGAAGATAAATATTGTAAGAGGATTAAAAGGCTGATCAAAACAAGATAGCGTGATATTTAAAAAATTATCAAATTAAGATAATATAATGAGAGGCCATTGAAAAGTTAATCAATTAAATGAAGATGAATATATGATGATATAAGGCTAAAACATAAAGATAATTTCCTGGTGATAGTCGATTCCAGAGGCAATTCAATTCAGAGACAAAAGCAAATAAAAAAAAAAAAAAAAAAAAAAAAAAAAAAAAAAACATAAATGCACTAAGTTAATAACGGTAAATTATGCTGTTCATAATTAAAATGATCTCCGACGACATTATAAAACATTAAGTGACGAATGAATAATTTAGCTGTTGCACTTTTATTTCAAATAGATTAATAAATCATTATAACCTATTAATGGTGCTTTCCCACTCTATAAATGCGTCTCCGTAACTCGCTTCATAAAAATAGCAGCAACTTAATAACATATGATTATTTGATAGAGGTGCGAGGGGCCTTGATAACGTGCCTATCGGACTGAAGTAAAAATAGCGTAAAAGCTATGAAATTATAAGTTGATATAGATAGATAGAAATATAGTTAAACGGATAGATGTAGATGGATACAGATTGTGAGGCAGACGTAGAAATGATGAAGTGAAAGGGAAGATGATGATGATGATGATGGTGATGGTGATGATGGTGGTGATGGTGAGGATGAGGATGAGGATGATGATAAGAAGAAAAGGGTGGAAAATAGCCAATAAAAAGAATATGTGTTCGTGCTTGTATGTGTGTGTGTGTGTGTGTGTGTTTCCATATGTATATTTGTTTCTGTGTGTATGTGTGCCTGTGTGTGTATGCGTACGTGTGTATACACCTAACGACAGAAAAGCACCGAAGCCCACCATAGCGAAGCCGACGTCCGCCATTTTGAGCGCCGGCCCGTCGTTGGTTCCGTCGCCGGTCACCGCCACGACCTGCCTGGTGGGCGTGGCCTTGGAAGCGATCAGGCCCTTGACCAGGATGTACTTGTCCTGCGGCGACGACCTGGCCAGCACGCGGAGACGAGGCCACACCTGGTCGAACATTTCTTGGGAGACCTGTGAGAGGGGGGGAGGGAGGGAAAAATAGATAGGATGGGAGGGAGGGAAGGAGGGAGGGAGGGAAGGAGGGAGGGAAACAAATAGATAGGATGGGAAGGAGGGAGGGAGGGAGGGAAGGGGAAAGGAGGGAGGGAGGGAAGGGGAAAGGAGAGAGGGAGAGATGGAAGGGGAAAGGAGAGAGGGAGGGAGGAAAGAGGAAAGGAGGGAGGGAGGGAAGGAGGGAAGGGGAAAGGAGGGAAAAAGATATGATGGAAGGGAGGGAGGGAAGGGGGTTGGGAGGAAAGAAGGAAAGAGTATTTGTTAGTTTGTCTATTTAGGAGGGAGGGCATAGCGTCATTTGATTTGTGGCTTATTTTGTGTTTATTTTGTTGTTATCCATTTTTGTGCAAATTATTGTATCCGCTGTTTTTTAATTATTTTTTTCCAGTTTGCTTTCTTTTTTCTTTGTTTCAGATATCCCTCACTTTATCTTTTTTTTCAATTCGTGACGTCCTATTTTCATTGAGGAAATGGGACTAACAACAAACAAAAATGGTCAATTTCTTTAAATTAATTGCTATTTCTACTTAAACAGCTAATTAGACCTCCATGGCCCCTGAATTATTATTACTATCTAATTGATGTTATTTGAATTTCTTAGTATCACCGGTCAAATTTATTACTACTATGTTGTTGATTGGTTGTTAGTGATCTTGGTGTAATTAGTAGCAATCGTAGCTAATGGTTATTTTGTAATCGCGTATGATTAAAAGATGAATGCTGTGATGAATTGTGTGGGTTCTAGTGTTGGGTTAAGGGTGTGGGGAAATGGATTTCACTTTCTCTCTTTTCTTTTCTTTCTCTCTTTCTTTCTCTCGCTCTCTTTCTTTTTTTTCTTTCTTTCTCTCTCTTTCTTTCTCTCTCTTTCTCTCTCTCTCTCTCTCTCTCTCTTTCTTTCTTTCTTTCTCTCTCTCTCTCATTCTCATTTCCATTCCCGTTCCCATTCTCATTCTCATATACTTTTGCTCTCTCCCTCACCCTTTCCCTTTCCCCTCCCCTCCCCCTATTCTTTCCCCTTCCCCCTCTCATCCCTCTCATCCATCCCTCTCCCTTCTGCCCTTCCCTCCCTCACCCTCACCCTATCCTCTATCTCCGTCTCCTTGCTCCCTTCCCTTCCCTCTCCTTCCTCCCCCTTTCATCTCCTTCCTCTCACCTCCCTTTCCCTCCCCTTCCTTCTCCTTCCCTCTCCTTCCCTCCCCATCTCTCCCCTTCTTTCACCGTCTCTTTGCTCCCTCCCCTTCCCTCTCCTTCCTCTCCTACCCTCCCCTTTCCCTCTCCTACCCTCCCCTTCCCTCCCCTTCTCTCCCTTCCCTCCCCTTCCCTCCCTTTTCTTTTCCTTCCCTCCCCTTCCCTCCCCTTCCCTCCCCTTCCTTCCCCTTCCCTCCCCTTCTTCCTTCGTCTCCTTGTCTCCTCTTTGGTAATAACCTTGGAACTATAAAATTAATATATAATATAGGGATTAATACCAATGTTTGATAGCATGCTGGAACTGGATCTTACCAGGGTTAGTGTCGTGAATTAAGAATTTAGTTTGTAAGATCGAAACATTCCTAAGAACATGATATCTGCACATGAACACATAATGTATTTATGCACTGTCTCGTCTTTGTAGGGACAGTACAGCACACGCAAGCAAGGGTACACACCCACGCATACGGAGACATACGCTGTATTTATGTAATGCCTCGTTTATATAGGGACGCATGTAGACGCAGACAGATGCATGCACTCAAACATTCCTTCGCCTTCCTTTCCTCCATCTCTCATTCCTTTTCCCCTACTCTCACTCTTCTTACCTCTTTTCTTCCCCCCTCCTCCACCTCCTTCCTTCTTTCCCTCCTTCACCTTATCTCTCGTCGTCCTCAGCCTCCTCCCCCAACCTTTCCTCCCTTTCTCCTATGTTCATTCCCCTCTCCTTCCTTCCCTCCCTCCCTCACCCTCCTCCTCACATATATTTTCCTTCCCTCCGCCTCCCTCACTCATTACCTCCCTCCTCCCCTCCCCATCCTCCTCACTCTCCCTTCCTCCCTCCTCCCCTCCCCATCCTCCTCACCCTCCCTTCCTCCCCACCCTTCCCCCACCCTCCCCTCCATCTCTTCCTCCCTCCTCCCCTCCCCCACCAATCCCCCTCCCATCCTCCCCCACCCTTCCCCCACCCTTCCCTCAATCTCTTCATCCGTCCTCCGAAACCCTTACCTCGCCTTTCTCGTCCCGGATCTTCTGGTTAAACTCCTTGCTATCTAAGACGAAGCCGGTGTCATTAGGAGCGAGAATGCCGCATTTGGTGGCGATCGAACGCGCTGTGTTGATGTTGTCTCCGGTGACCATTCGGACGGTGATGCCCGCGCGCTGGCACAGGTGGATGGCTTCTGGCACCTGCGGGGGAAGGGCGTGGGGTGAGTGGGGTTGGTGAGTGGGGTGTAAGGGAGATGGAGTGGGGTTTAGGGGGTGAGGGGGTGAGGGAGCTGATGAGGGAGTGAGGGAGTTGATGAAGGAATGAGGGAGCTGATGAGGGAGTGAGGGAGTGAGGGAGTTGATGAGGGAGTTCATGAAGAAATGAGGGAGTGAGGGAGTTGATGAGGGAGTGAGGGAGTGAGGGAGTTGATGAGGGAGTTCATGAAGGAATGAGGGAGTGATGGAGTTGATGAGGGGGCGAGGGAGTTGATGAAGGAATGAGGGAGTTGATGAGGGGGTTGGAGTTGCGAGTTGAGAGGGGGGGGGGGTGATGGGGCTTTGCGTGTGGGTTGGGGGGTGATGGATGAGTTGGTGGGAGTTTGAGTGGAATTTTCATGGAGGGATACTGAACATGGAATTTTTTCTCACTTTCTTATCAAATCCTAATTCATCTATCATCCTTTATTATCAACCATAACCATAAACCTATAATCACTTCTAATCATCAGTTACCACCTACATATCCAACATTATGTTACATAAAGAACATGTCATCACTACATATACCACATAACATAACAAATACCGCACGCCATAGTATACACGTGCATACATACGCACATATGTATGTTATGATGGGAAAACCTACAATGAACAAGCTAGATTTACTGATAATGAGACAACAGTTTCGAAATCCTCTTGGATTTCGAAACTGATGTCTCACTATCAAGTATTGTGTTTTGTTTCTAGCATAGTATCAACACGGTAGAGTGTTTGTCATATGTATATGCACACACACACACACACACACACACACACACACACACACACACACACACACACACACACACACACACACACATACTTACACACACACATATACATACATATATATATATATATATATATATATATATATATATATATATATATATGTGTGTGTGTGTGTGTATATATATATATATATATATATATATATATATATATATGCATATAATGTTATATATATACATATATTATCTTATATATGCATATATACCACACTACACCCACTCTTGTGATCCGACAAACCCGCAAATTTCTTCCACAGCTTTTTTTTTTCTTCTTTTTTTCTTACAGCTACTTGACCTTACCTCTGGCCTGACCGGGTCTTCCACGCCCAAAATAGCCAGTAAGGTCAAATTGGTCACGGTTTCGTCCATGTCGTCCCAGTCAGGCGGAGAACTGCCGATCTCTACCTGTGGGGAAACCAGGAGAGATTATTTGGCTATTTTGGCGGCGTTTTCCTTGTTGAGATTGTTGATGGTTCGTAATAATAGCCGTGACGATGACGATAAGGAAACTTCTTATTTAAGTTGCAGTAAGGTTAGTGGTGATAATAACAATGGTATTATGATGGTCATTATCATTATTAGAGTCATTAGTAGCATCGTTATCGTTACTACTACTACGACTATTAGTGTTATTGTTACTACTATTGTTAAAACCATTATTGTTGTTGTTATCATTATTAGCACTATCACCATCATCATTATCATTATCATCATTATCAGTATCACTATTAGCACTATCACCATCATCATTATCATTATCATAGACATTATCAGTATCATTATTAGCACTATCACCATCACCCTCACCACTATCACCACCATCATCACCACTATCATCACCACTATCACCATTATCATCATTATCACCATCACTATCACCACCACCACTATCATTATCACTATCACCATCACCACTATCACCACCACCACCATCCTTCCGGCCTGACCTGACTGAGCTCGGCGTGGTAGGGCACGAAGTCCTTGTAGGCGAGACCGATCGTCCTCAGTCCCTCGGAGGCCAAGCGATCGATGACGTCCACCTCGATCTTCTTTTGGTCTTCGACGGAGAGCGTCTCGACTTCGCCCTTCTCGTTCAGGACGTAAGCGCATCTGTTGGGGTGGGAAGCTGTGGGTGAGTAGGGTGTAGGGTGGTTGCGTGGGTGGGTTTGTTGGGTGGGTTTGTGGGTGGAGTGTGTGGGTACTTGTATGTGTGTGGGGGGGTGGGGGTGGGAGGGGTTGTATGGGTGTGTATGAGGAGGGGGGTTGTATGTGTGTGTGGGGGGGGGTATGTAGGTGTTTGTATGTGTGTATATGAGGAGGGGGGGTTGTATGTGTGTGTGTGTGTGGGTGGGGTATGTGGGTGTTTGTATGTGTGTGGGTGTGGGGGTTGTATATGTATATGTGTGTGTGACTTTGTATGTGGGTATATTTGCGTATGTATGTTACATTTCACGATATTTCATGGCTATATCTCCGTTGAAGGTGAGGTGATATATCTATTATTTCACTCACCAATTCCTTTTCTTACCCATTAATCAATCTACGCACCCAAGTTCCATTTTTCCCCGCTTTTCTATCCATCTCCAAATCCATCCATCCCTCACACTCAAAACACGACAAATAAATCAAAACACACAAAAAACAACCTAAAAAAAGGCCTACTCACTTCTTCACCACGATCTCCGACGCCCCTTTGGTGAAGAGCCTGAAGCCGCCGACCCCGAGGGAGATCACCGTGGTCATGGACTTCCTCGCCGAGTTGAAAGTGTACACCTTGACGAACTTCTCTTCCGGGTAGTGGTTGCGAATCGTCTGGTAGTTCTTGCCCAGCTCGCCCACGAAACCCAGCAGCGCGCACTCGGTCTTGTTGCCGATCTGCTTGGGGAGATCGCCGGGCACTTCGGAGGGAACCACCTTCGACGTGTAGTTGGTGTTGACACTGATCCCGAGGACCAGGAGCTCGGCCAGGTTGGCGGGAAGGACTTCGTAGGTCGGGAGCGTTCTGGGCGGAAGAGAAAGGGGGATTTGTGGACGTTTATTTACGCGTTTTGTAGGGCTTTGCTGGCATCGTATTGACATGGCGGTATGCTTTTGCTCTTTATAGATATAGATTTTGACACATATGTACTGGTGATGGATAGATAAATGGCTGAAAACATAAACACACACACACAGACACACCCACACACACAGACACACACACAAATACACACACACACACACGCACACACACAAAGATAAACACAGAGACAAACAAACCAATCAGACAATTTACAAAGCCACAGACACATATGCTTACTTATACGTCTGGCCCCCGATGTGCGCCGCCACGACCGTCATGCGATTGGTCGTGAGAGTCCCCGTCTTGTCGGAGCAGATCGTGGTCGCGTTGCCCATGGTCTCGCAGGCGTCCAGGTGCCTCACCAGGTTGTTGTCCTTCATCATTTTCTGAGGTAGGAGCAGAGGGGGGGGGGGGTGGAATCGATTGGAGTACTTGATTGGTTGGTTGTTGAAGTTTTCATCATCGTTAGAGAGGACAGAGTCAAAGTATGGTACAAGTGGTCTTCCCTTTCTTTCTCTTTCTATCTATCTCTCTCTCTCTCTTTCTCTCTCTCTCACTCTCTTTCTTTCTTTCTCTCTCTCTCTCTCTCTCTCTCTCTCTCTCTCTCTCTCTCTCTCTCTCTCTCTCTCTCTCTCTCTTTCTCTCTCTCTCTCTCCCTCTCTCTCTCTCATCAGTCGTGGTGGGTCGACCTTATATCATATTATAGTGTTCTTAATGTCCCTTCCCTCTGTCGCTCTTTGATCTTTATTCTATTCACTTTTTCCCTCTCACCCTGATAAAGAGATCGTCCTCTCACACCCCCTCCCGCCCCTATCCCCTCACCCTCCTCAACCCTCTCACTCATACCCCCCCCCCACACTCTCCCTGACTCTCCCTGACTCTCCCTGACTCTCCTCATCCTCTTTACCTTCCTCACTCTTACGGATATGTCGTCCTCTCACTCACCTTCCTTAATCCTCTTACCCAGGTCCCCCTTCACCTTCCCCTCCCCCCTTCCCCCTCACCCTACCCACTCTCCCTCTCCCCTTCCCCCTCCCTTACCCACTCACCCCCTCCCCTACCCACTCACCCTCCCTCCTTCCCCCTCACCCTCACCCTCTACCCTCCCCTTTCCCCTTCACCCTCCCCTCTTCCCCCTCACCCCCCCTTCCCCCCTCACCCTACCTACTCACCCCCCTTCCCCCCTCACCCTACCCACTCACCCTACCCCCTTCCCCCTCACCCTACCCACTCACCCTCTACCCTTCCCCCTCACCCTACCCACTCACCCTCTACCCTTCCATCTTCCCTACCCCATTCACCCTCCCCCCTCCCCTAACCCCCTCCCCCTCCCCCATCCCCCTCACCCTAGCCCACTCACCCTGACGGAGAAGGCGAGCGAGATGGTGACGGCGAGCGGCAGGCCCTCAGGCACGGCCACCACCAGCACCGTGACGCCGATGATGAAGTGGTGGACGAAGGTGTTCATGTGACGGATACTGAAGGGGAGACCGTCCATCACGTAGGTCTTGACGCTGAATTTCACGACCAGGATGATGATGGTCAGGATTGCGATGGCTGAGCCTGTTGGGGGGGTGGGGGGAGGGAGGAAGAGGGAAGAAGGGAGGAGGAGAAGGGATGGTTGGTGAGGAAGGGAGGAAGGAGGAGGAAGACAGGGAGGGGATGGTTGGTGAGGGAGGGGGAAAGGAGGAAGGAGGAAGGAGGAGGAAGAGGAAGAAGGAGAAGGGATGGTTGGTGAGGGAAGGAAGAGGAAGAGGAAGAGAGGGAGAAGGGATGGTTGGTGAGGGAGGGAGGAAAGAGGAAGGAGGAGGAAGAGGAAGAGAGAGAGGGGATGGTTGGTAAGGGAGGGAGGAAGCAGGAAGGAAGAGGAAGAAGGAGAAGGGGTGGTTGGTGAGGGAGGGAGGGAGGGAGGAGGAAGAGAGGGGGAAGAGGAAGAGAGGGTTGGTGAGGAAGGGAGGAAGGAGGAGGAAGAGGAAGAGGGAGAAGGGATGGTTGGTGAGGGAGGAAGGGAGGAAGAGGAAGAGGGAGAAGGAGAAGGGATGGTTGGTAAGAGAGGGAGGAAGGAGGAAGGAAGAGGAAGAGAGAGAGGGAATGGTTGGTGAGGGAGGGAGGAGGGAGGAAGCAGGAAGGAGGAGGAAGAGCAAGAAAAAGATATGGTTGGGAGGGAGAGAGGAAGGAAAGGATGAATGGAGGGAGGAAGTATTAGAAAGGATTAATTAGAGAGGGAGAAGGAAGACGAGGCGCAGGACGAGAAGATGGAGGAGGAGGAGGAGGGAGGAAGGGAGAAAAGGAAGGAAAGAGGGAGGAAGAGACCGAAGGAATGGAGGTGAGGGAGAAGAAGGAGAAGGGGGGTAAGAGAGGAGGAGGAGATGGAAGTGAGGAGGAGAAAGAGACGGGAGAAAATAGTAGAAGAAAGGGGTGTAGAGAAAACAGAATCATAGGAAGAGGGATGGGAGGTGAGGACGAGGAAGTGGAGGAGGGAGAGGACGAGGTAAGGACGAGGACCAGAAGAAGAAGAAGAAGCGAAAGAAGGAGGAGAAAGAAGATACGAAGAGAAAGGCAAAAGAGCAGGCAGATTAGCAGAGAAAGATAAAGACAAAGAAAAAGGAGATACACATCATGAAGAAGAGAAGAGAAGAGAAGAAGAGGAGAACGAAAAGAGGGAAGGGAAAAATATCAAATTAACGAATGAAAACGACGCCCAATCATCAACTCATCAAACCCCAATGAAAATTCCAGAGTGAAAAACAAACCACACCCGCTATTCAATCGTAACAAACAAACTTTCTTCAAGCAATATATCACTGGGCGTAACTGCAAATTAGAATTGATTTCGACACTGGTATGTATCAAGGTTAAAGGCATTAAAGACACTTTAATGATAATGAGAAAAGCAATGATGATGATTATATGCGATAAAGCACCTTCGCACTTCTTGCTTGCATAAGCCTTTCGTAACCATGGCAACCTGTACGAGGCCCAGACTACACAACATAACCAATGCAAAACGATATTCATTATGTCACTGAAACCTATCATGCTAATGCTGGAGAGATGTTTATTGTCCTCTTAGCCAGCAACATTACTTTGATCATTATGTATCGTATTCATATGATAATATATTAGTAATAGTAGTAGTAATTTATAGAAGTAACCGTATTTGTGTCAGTACTATAGTCTTCTCTTATGGATTCGATGGTGTGAATATGTGGGTATGTGAGGGCATGTGGATACGCAGAACACGAAGGACTCTTACCCGCATAGCCGATCTGAATGGCTAATCTGGAGAGTTTCTGTTGAAGAACAGATTTTTCCGTTTTCTCCTCCTGTTTCTTTTCCTTGTCTTTGCCTTTCGTTCCGTCCTTGCCTTTGTCTGTAATTATGAGAGAGAGATAGAGAGGGAGAGAGAGAGAGAGGTGGGGAGGGGGGGAAAGGGAGAGAATCGTAATTATTAAGCGGTCGATTTGATAACTGCAATATAACTAAGTAAATCACCAGCTTTGCAGCGTCTGTAATTCTTAACGAAGAAAATTAAAAAGTACATGATCATCCAATGAATCAATTACTTTATATTATGGATACATAAACCAGCAAACACACTTAGACACACATATGCAAAACAAAAGATACGCACGCATACGTATATATGTGTGCTTGTGTGTGTGTGTGTGCATATATATATATGTGTGTGTGTGTTGAGTGTGTGTGTGTGTGTGTGTGTGTGTTTGTGTGTGTGTGTGTGTGTGTGTGTGTGTGTGTGTGTGTGTGTGTGTGTGTGTGTGTGTGTGTGTGTGTGCAT